TAATTTACATAGTCCATTCTTTTTATTTTTACTCATTTATATTCATATTTCGTCATTCATCTTTACCCGTCAAAGACTGTAGATCTAACAGTCGAAAGCTCGTATATCTGTAAACATTTTTAAGCCAGAGATCGTTTTTAAATTTTTATTATGCTCCAAACTTGTTCGACTACTTGCCTTAAAGACTTTGAATCTTACAAATTCTGATGTCTACTCACCAGGAGCTGTTAAATTATTGCTGTATTACAAGTTTTACTGATGTTTTGCTCTTTATTTAGGGTTACATACATTCATTTTGGTGTTGTTCAAGAGTTTGGCTAGGAGGGAGTGCCAAATATATAATTTCTGTTGCAAAACATTAAATTGTTGAGACTTGCAAAATCATTCACATTCGACCTTGGTGATGCGATATTTAACAAATAAAGAAGCCTTGACTGTGCTCTGTTCTGTTGTAAAGCACGCAGGAAGCGGTAGAGCACAAAAGAAGTGTAGGGGAAAACACGAGACTCCTCCCCACCCACCTCCTTTTCCCTTGGAATTTCTAATGACCAGCTTGGGAGTTAGCCATGGATATCTTCTGGAAACCTAAGTTTGGGACATTCCTGCAGACTAATTGTGCTAGATTAGATCCTCAGTGCTCATTTGAAACTCATTTCATCGGGCACAGCAGTCACTGATCTTAAACAGTGATTTTGCGAACAATTTCCTATTTTCAGTGTAGCATTGATCACAAAACAAAATGAATCTGCAAAGCAAGAAAGTCCTCAAACACCATATTTGAGCAAAGGAACTGAAAAATTATGTTTGATTAATTCTCCGCATTTTAAATAACAGCTGTCTAAGGCAACTGAGACATGTTATTAGCAATGTGTTTGATTAGGTAGCAAAAACACACATAATTTATTTCCAAGGCCAAAAACTGTCACTGGTTTTTTAACTTAATGCTTACATTCTTATTAACACTGCTAGATTGCATGTTCAGGTTGCATAATTAACAAATTGACGTCAGTTTTTTAAGCGTCTGTCCTGCTATTGATCATGAATTTTGTCATGACATTGTCAAAGTAGCTGTGGATCCCCAAGGCGAAAGCCAAGTGGATCCACAGACTACTTTGACAATGTTATGATGTTTGTTTTTATGATAACAAATCGTCAAATTGTCCGCCCTCGCTTGCTGACGCATCACATAAATTATAAATTCATGCGTCTGTCCGCTTATTGACAATAAAAATTAGCCAATGAGCGCGCGAGAATTTCTGCTTTGTAAAGACATATCAATGTTGCATTGTAAATCTTGTATTACTGTTTGCTGAACTAAAACGCCATAGAAATCATTTAATTTAATCAGTGAAATCTACCAAAACAACGTCATGTGGGGCGTCTGAACATTTCATAGCGTTAATGCAGGTTTTATTACACGTTGTAGACTATACCCCCAATTCAAAATGGCGGCGATTTCGCGTTGTTATAAGACAACTTGATTTTACATGCATAAATGTATCCGCACTTGCCTGTTGGAGCACTGTCGAAGACAAGAAGATCATATTTTCCATTACATCCCGCCCGATACTCCTCCAACTTTCCAGTATCCCAATAAACCACAACTGTATCATCATCTAGGTCAATATCGACGACTGTTCCTACACCTCCTTCACCTCCATCTTGATCGCCCCATATCCAATCAGGGCCACGAACTACTCGCAAACCAACCTCCATCGTTGATTTGTTCCTTTTCTTTCAGGGTCTAAACCTCAAAACACACAATAATCGGAGGGCAGGCGTATCTCTGTTGTGAGCATTTCAGCGCAACCTCGTCCCCAAGGACCCAGGGACGTTCCTGGGGACGACGATGAATTTCCGGGTTCCGAACGTGCCAGAGCCCGCGCGATTTCGATCAGCGGTGACCAAACAATACTCACGTGACTCACGTCTCTAGGAGGTTCTCCGTAAAAAACTAAAAAGATTCTTCGTCTTGCCTCAACAAGCTGTCAGCTTTTGTTCTGGTACTGAGGTAAGACGAAAAATCTTAAATTAAGACTTAAGTTTTTATGGAGTTATTTCAGAAGAAAAATGAACTAAGAGCTGGAAGCTTCTTGGTAGGTATATTTGTGAAGCAGGATCAAAACATTTGTCTAACCATGTTAGTTGCAATTGAAGAACGAAATAATGAATTTTCAGATGACAGGAATCCATACTGATTCCTGTACTCGTCGTACCTTTAAGGGGTTAAAAAAGTGGTTGTGGTGTATCAGCCTCGAAAGGTCCACAGCAGGAGATTTTGCGGTACTCTTTAGGGTATTGAGCCGAAAAAAATATGAGAGGAGATAATGTGCTCTATTAGAATTGGGTCCTCTTAAGGATAAAAGAAAATTGAAGGCACGCCCACAAAACAGGATCTTGTTACCTCCTAGAGGTTCTTTTCAAAATTTCCAATGAGCAGTCCCATCCTTTTTACGTGGGAGTGCCCTCCTCCCCGGGTTCCATATGGAACAGGATCCTACCAACAGGTGCGTACAACTCCCATATTAAGCCTATGTCGGGGTATTTTTACAGACCAGTCTATTTTTAGGCTTCTTTCCCGCGAAATAGGTCATCAGTAAGGAATAAATGGCTGTTTTTCTTATTAATCTTCCGGTTAAATCTTGACGTCAGTTAAAAATTAAGTCCTTGTTTGTGATTGGTCACCTATGTTCCTGCGGGGGTCTGAATTCGCATTAAATTCAAACTAAATATAGATCGGTCTGTGAAAACGCCGTGACAGGAATGTGGGGTAGTTGTACGCTAAAAAAAAAAACGAAAAAACAGGTAGTTGTATGCTGCTAGTGATGTCTGGGATGTCTCCTGTCTGGGATCAATACTATGTGAACAATGTAATATATAATTTATGGAAAAATCGAGCAATTCTAAACGACATCATGATTGACTCAAAACAGTCCTCGAATCGCTGTTTTCAAGGTAATTCGCATCCTTGAGTAAAGGTCTGGTGCACTCTTTTTAGTTCTATTCAGGAGCCATAATCGAGGACGGACACCGTAAGTCTTGGGATCCGCGGGCACCTATGACATGGGACAATTTTTCTGTTTTTAGAACAAATTGCACCACCCTGACGACATATATCTTCGCGGATCCACGCACATGTCGTGAGTTCTCGCGTGGATGTTGTCACGTTGTGTGATCAAATGGTGAGAGTTGCGAGATTCTCTTGCGGATTTTTCACAGCGATGGCAGGGAATAGGGCAGGGAAAGGGATGCACAATGCAGTACTGAGTAATCACCAAGTAATGGATTCAGTTTTCGTCAGCTACAGAGGAGTCTCATAGTTTAGACACGCAGGAGTGACTTGGAGGGAGAAGCTCAACGGGACACCTCAACATGAGGAATTTTGTGAGTATATGATAAAAGTTTAACAGCTGGGCGATATCATTGCCTGCGATACCGTGCACGAAAGCCAAGTACCGGAATGCTTATGCTTTCTGAAAACCAGTTCTGAAAAAAAATATATCATGAGGTCAATATCAACTGAAAAGCCTAATCCTTCAAGTCAAACTCTTAATCCAAAATGCCCATTAATTTATCGATTTCTTTGGCATTTTCGCATTAAAAGAAACAACCAGGAACAACTTGATTTATTGTAACCTTCCTGAACGAGTTCGCTAATTTCTAGCCTCTGGCATGGATCTTTAGAACGCCTCTTTTTCTAAATAACGCTTCCGATTATTACAGAAGCTGAAAAAAATGGGTATTAAAACATGCAAACCAATAAAGATAAAGCTTTTAGCTGCCACCATTGGGCACTTTCCTTTGAACCAAAAATTCCGAAAGTTTCCTTTTCTAGGAAAGTTTCCGGAAAATCCGGAAATTGTCGAATTTTCGAAAAGCGTACCATTTAACCAAAAATTCCGGAAATTCCGCGAGGAAAGTCTGATGGAACAGAAATTCCGAGTGAGAAATTTCCTAAATTTCGCTATACCTCGCAAATTTGCCCACTTTTCTCAGAATTACGAAAATACTGTTGCATTCGCCATGGATATTTTTTGAATTGCGAACCGGAATTTTTGGTCCAATGGAAAGCGTCCATTATCTTTTAGGTTAGGTTTCAAATCCCTAAATAGCAGAGTCTCTTACAATGGGTATCTGACCATTGTAATTCAGCTTTCTACGAGCTCCATAGTAAACAGTTCATTGAAAATTATAAAACGTGCTAATTAGCGCGTTAAAGCACACGGCGGAGAATGTTTAAGCGAAGCTGACTGGTTATGATTGAGAAGTCGATAATAATACGGGCAAAAGAATAGACTAGTTACAGTTTACACCAAGGCTACACCCGCTCTGAAGAATAAATTTGAAGAAAGGTGGACTGGTCTCTAATGGGTTGAATAGTCTGTTCACTAAAAAGGCAGAAAAACAGTTTTCAGTCGGGAAATTGAATTATTAAGCTGGGATACTAAGCGCGCTCTCATTGGTTGATAGGTGTGTTTAGATGAGAGTATGCAAACACAATTAGTTGCGACGTTTTAGATTCGCGCGTAGTTCTGAGAATTATTTCATAAAAGCAATAGAGCACTTTTTCCATGTTTACATAGCCTCATCTAAACACTCGGGGGTGGAGAGACGTAGTCGAGGGTTTGCATAACTGTCTTGAATTCTCCGAACCCTCCTCGTGTTTAGATGAGGCTATGTAAACACGGAAAAAGTGTTCTATTGCTAAAGTGGTGAACAAGGCAAGAAAATGCTACAAAAGCCGTTTTATCCAAACACGATTTATCGATTAAGAGAACTCAGGCCAGTGGCTTTTAAATAGCTTAGTGACAGATCAAATCCTTTAGTGTTGAAGATCAAACTTGTCAAACTTCAGAAATTGTATGTTGCTTTATTTCTGTGAAGATTGTTTTCTCTTTAATTAAGAGACGTTTTGCTCCTAACCAAACTTGCGATGATTCGTGAGCAATCGTTTATTGAGTCAAAACCCTTTCGCCGAGAAAGTCTGGCGCAGCAGAAAGTTTGTTTATGAAACTTTAAAGTTTTCTGGCGAATCGTTGAAGGTTAACTGGCAAAATATCACAAGTTTGGTGGGGAGCAAACATTAGAGGAAAACCCTCTTTTCGCGCCAGTTGCCGCCTTAGAGGCAAGTGA